AAATCTTTTGCCACGACTATGGGTTACTTTAAAGGAATAATATATCACTCCCAACGAGTTCTGTGCGTACAGTGAATCCGTTTCCCCCATACAATTAGAGCGAAAGTAGAGTTGTAGCCGGCTCTTGATGTCTGAAAAACCAGGATAAGTTATAACACAAAATAAATTCCGCTAAAAATATATGTAAGAACGATATATTCACCAAGTGCTGGTGGATTCCCTAATTCCTTACTAGAAAATCGGCAGGTTGTAGAAAGGATTGTTCGCTTCGTTTGAAATCTGAAAACCACCGTTTCGAATCCATGTAGGTGCGAGTGACCTAGCTGTTTACTTAAACCGCATGCAAAAACCCCAGGCGCAAGCGGAATTCATTATTGTGTCAACGGGAACCAGTACTAGGTGCATCCGTTAAAACAAACGAGACATCCAATCAGCTTTGTCATCAATGTTGGAGGTTGCATGGTGCGGGTTACCTTCGCTGTCTGTGTTGTGCGGTATGCTTCGCTTGTGGGTTCCTTCCTTGCGCGCATAGAACTGCTGTTCCCAAGTGTCCCTCTCCTTTGGGGGAGTCATTACGGTCTGCTGTTGACTGGTTGCTGTTTCGCACCCTGGACATTCCACGCTAATAAGAACTGCTGCATTAGTGTCTGCTTTAAGTCCACCACACTTCCCCCCTCCACGAAAACCTGCCCAACTGCTTTTAATCGCAGTCTTGCTGACCGTCAGCGATATTTACCTTGCGAAAGAGGTTACACCTTTAACTTGTGCTACTGCTTCAATTCACTGGCATACACTCGCCGTGAACCTCCGCACTGGTTAAGTACCACGTGCAGCCCCTTCCACCTCATTAGGATTTTCCTCCACCATGATCTACTAGTGGACGCTTGGTGATGGTCTCAGTATTTCACCTTCGAACCGAGCTAAAACTCAAACCTCGTCTCACCATTGTTAGCCTGGGACTTCCCCATCCTCCGTACCTGAGTTACTTTCAGATTACGGGTGGCTTAGTTCCTGGCATTTCGTGTTCCTTTAGGAGATGTTTCATAGGATGGCCACATTGCAACCTCTGGATTTGCGGGTAGACGGTGCTTGACCGTAGATCAATTGGAATCGTGATTTCTTTGTGGAGGCTTGTTTGGTATTGGTAAAGCTTCACCCCAGCCTGCACCCATTCCGCTAGTAACAGAGCTATCGTTCTATTGTTAGAGTTCGTCAAACCATTCGTCCGCGGTTGGTACGGATTTGTCTGCTCTTCACTAGTACCAAGTTTTGCCAAGCTGTTCCGGAATTCGTCACTCTTGAGGCACGGACAATGATCTTTTAAGATGGCCTTTAAGGTTTCGTGATCCGCTGTCAAATGCTTCATGCTGGCATAGGTAATTGTGCTCGCCCGTTGATCCGGGATTCCTGTGGCTACAATCTAACACGTAAAGTGTTCCATCATCAACAAGCTGTCTTGGTTACCCTGCTTGGTCAGTGGAAGCGGTCCCATCACGTCGATTGACATAGTTTTCTAATTTCCGATACCGAAATCGATATCACTGGGTGCTATGCCCCTCGGCAGTCACATTTCAAGGGTTGGCTTTGCTTGCACGAAAGAAAGTATGTCTCTACGTCGTTCTTCATGCCAGGCCAGTAGGCGTGTTGTCTCATGGAGCACTCGATATGCGCCATCTCGTAACAAGAAAACACCAGCTTCCGTTTTAGTTTCGTCAGAATAACCGGCACCGAAGGGTTGCAACCTCTTGTATTCCACATAAGGATTACCGCTTCATTTAATTGTAACTTTCAAGAGTTTTCGCAGATGGTCCGAGCTGCTTGTGTTTGCTCTTGTAAAGTTATGCTAGACCGGTTATCCGTGTAGTGGTCACTTTGAGCAAGTTTGGCATTGCGTTACTCGGCTGCCAACTTTCCCGGGTCCTGCTTCAACACTATATCATTAATACCGAAAGCCACACTCAGCAGATCATTTTGGTTCATCAGGCGTAACGAAATATCCAACGTTTGCTACTCCTTACCCTGCACGTATTTTATCGTGCAATCATATTCCTGCAGGTGCAGCGCCCATCGGGATAGCTTGCACCTGGGGCTTTGCAGACGCAATCCGTTTCTAAGACTTGTGGTCCGTTTCGACATGAAATAGCTGACCTAACAGAAATGACCACCATTTGTCCAAAGTTTAGACGATTGCGAGACATTACTTCCCAAAGGTTGAGTATTTGCGTTCAGCCGGAGTTAAAATTCTGCAAGCCTACTCGATGGTCTCATAGCTTTGTTTTAAAACCGCGCCGACTTCAACATCGATGGCATCCATGGCCATGGTGAACAACTCTCCTGCGATAGACAATTTCAGGGTCAGCTCCTGCCTTCCCATTTCCTGTAGAATGTGGGCAAAGGCTTGTTGTGCTTCTGTAGTCAAAGTGAATTTCTTATCCTGTTTCTGCGGCTGGTTCAAGGGTGATGCCAAGTTATTGAACGCCTTGATGAATTTGCTGTGGTACCCAACACGGCCCAGGAAAGCTCTGAGAGTGCGCTTTGAGTTAAGAAATGGGTTGTCTTGTATTGTTAATGTTTTCTCAGGTAGAGGCTTCGTTTCACTTTGTCCCACTTTATGGTCTAATAAGGCAAGACAAGTCCTTCCAATCTGGGAATTCGATCTATTTATAAGGAGTTCTGACAACTGAATCCATTCCAAGACTGTTTCGAGATGAGCAATGAGCTCCGACTCTGATTGCCTATACACCACAATATACTCCATGTACATCACCATGTTCTCCAAGCCGCTCAGCAAGCGCAGAACTTCGGAAAGCAAATGGGCGCCAGAGAATCCAAAAGACATTCTTATAAAATGGTATGCTTTCTCCCTTAAAGTAAACGCCAATTTCTTTCGGTTTTCTCATTTGCTCGCCAGTGAGCAGTACCCAGATTTCAGGTCCAGAACCATGAAAATCTTCGACTATTGCCGTCTATCAAAATCTCAGCTACTTAGGGAACTGAAACGAAATGACTGAAAGAAATTTCCTTCAGCCGTTAAAAGTTCACACAGAAACGATAGGTCCAATTAGACTTCCTTACAAAGAAACTGTATAATTTGAAACAGTTAACTCCCTTTATTAGTTTGCAAACCGAATTAAGAAGACAAAAACTGGCAAATGCGCGCATTTCGTATTGTCTCATCAGTGTCTTTAACAATAACTCGCAATAATATTTATTCAGTGAAGGACGCAACTAAACATACATGCAAACAGACAAACAGACCAACACACGATAGGCGAGACATGGTTATCACCACTATCCCCAGCGCAGTCTAATGATGACCGACAATTGTTTCTGAACACAAAGCAGTGGCTTAATCCGGTTAATTGCAATCGCCTCTGCGAAACGGAGGAGGCGCGAATTGGTGTGCTGTAATGGGATTGTGAACGGCGAAGTGACCTCGACTCGGTGATCTGTAGTGAATAAGTGTCGGCCGATCGAAGAGGCTGGTGGCTTACGCAGACAAGCAGCTTGACTCTGGCCAGTTTCCTGCGCGGGCGAACGTTGAACCCACCTAGGTAAATGCTCCTTCATTCGGGAACTCAATGTTCTATCGGTCCTGCCTACGTAACTAGTGCCGCAGTCGCAAATGAATTGGCGAATGCAGTGCGATTTGGCCGCGATAGACTGCGCACCCGTTACAGAAGGAAGTGGCAGTTTTTGGGTTTTGTTAGTGACAACGACCTTGGCGGCATAGTAAGTTGTCTGCATGGCACAGATCAGACGCCTTGTGGTCCTCAACGAGGAGACTTCACCTTTGAATGGCAGTTCAATGATTAAAATGTTCTTAGGTACCATGTACACTAGGTCCCTCGGTAGCACTTGACTATGTTTCTCGATGAACCTTCGTGGGTAGCCGTTTTCATTGGGCATGTTGGCAATCAACTGCAGTTCGTCAGCCAGGCAATCAGCTGAGCAGATTCGTCTGGCACGGCTAACCAGGGTACTCACGAGCGTCCGCTTGTATCGCATTGGTGTGAAGCTAGTGAAGTGCAGATACTGCCCGGAACATGCTGATTTCCTTTAGACAGACCTCTTAATCCGGCCGTTTGCGGCTGATGAGGATATTTACGTATGGAAGGCAATTTTGCTTCTCTAAATCACAGCAGACCCGCAAGTTATAATGCACAGAATTTACTTGCGTTACCAACTGCTCCATCTGATACTCCGATGAACTAACTGCCAAAATAGCGTTCACGTAGCGTTTGTAGTATGAAAGTCAGTTACATAGGCAGGACGGATGGAACATTGAGTTCCCGAATGAAGGAGCATTTACCTAGGTGGGTTCAACTTTCGA